AGGATGAATGAAGAGTTCAAATGAGAAATTTCAAATATTTACAAGAAAACACTCTAAGTATGAGATTTTTCAGTTAATAATTTATATATAATATAATATAGAATAAATAGTTTACTCAGCCCATCCTCTAATACATCCTCCAATGAAAATATTAATTATAGAAATCAAATATTTTCTTTCACACGTCTATAATTAAATATAATTGAAGAATTAAATACTAAATATGCCATAAAATAAAACAAAGTGTAATATATCATCATTTACAAAATAAACATCATTTTGCTATGCCAACAATAGAAGCACTATTACATGGATGTCGGCCTCAACCAACATTGCAAACACACACACATACATATATATATATATATATTTGTCTACGAGCGTAATCAAAATAATCTTGGCCCTACAACAGTAGACTCACACAACCATTATCAACAAATTAATAACAAACCCTCGGCTAAAAAAGAAAAGACACGATAAACCCATAGGTATATAACGGTCATCCAACCACTTACAAATACTCATCATACAACTACAATACAATTCATGGATAGTCAACGCTTAACCAAAAGACACCCCATGTAATGTGATTGAGAATATATGACCTTCATGTCTATCTCTATCCAATTTCATGAAGTTAAATTCGTGCAATCTTGAGCGATCACCCAAGAAAAATTTGAAAACTCTACTCCTCTATGTTCGCTCCAACAAAATCATCTTTGAAGTTGACATGTGATCCTAAACTACTGGTAGACCTCACTTACCTAATATCTTTTTATTATAACTGGATGATAAGTGTTGTTCATTCTAGATGATTTCCTCGCGTAACTACCGCACACAATGACCAAATGATATATCCAAGAACGATATCCAACAAAATTGTTGGAAACAAGGATTGGTTGAGATCGGGATCTGGCTCACGGAGGAAACAAGGCTAGCGGAAGCCAAGGAGGAGCTACTACAACATGACAATGAAGAGGCCGAGGCAAAAGCTTACATATCATCTCCGATCACCATCTCTCCAATCGATGAAATGAACAAAACAACAAAAGCCACTACATCCATGCAAGATACTGATATAATTATCATCGATTCATCTTAGCGAGATATCACGACAGTTGTTGCTACTATCACTGTTTTTTGCAGGTGCAATTCGACGGACTCTGACATGAGGTTGGCAGAATTCATCATGATATTCAGGAGCTGAGAGGAGAAATGAACACGATACTGGGGCAAATCAAAGCAAACTTTGCGACTTTAGTAAAATATTTCAGAACATAGGCAAGTGAAGGCCAGTAACATTTGTTAAAAACTTAAGTATTTTTTTTAGTGCCTAGTTATGTGAGTATTTTTTTTACTGCATAAGTAAATTGCTTAATTCTACTATGTCTTAAAATGCGATTGATCCTCATATTTATTTTTACGCGAGCATGTTAGTAATTGGTTTTGCGACTTCTAAACACGAATTAAGTATGTTGAAATTGAACTTAGTCAATAATTAAAATGACTCACAACACAAGTAATGGACTTTCTTAAGCCTTTTTTTTTTTTCTTTTTTTTTTTTTTGCCTTTCTTAAGCTAACATGAGATAGTAACAAACCAATGTTTTTTAAGAATGAGTCTGACGAATTAGGAACACAAAAATGGACTTGCAAGTGTAACGGCATAATAAGAAATAAAGGCAACAAAAAATGCAAGATCATGAGAAAGACAATGTTTATACTCTGATTATAGAAAATAAAAAAAATCGCAAAATTGATGAGCGATCCAAAAAATAGACAAAATAAAATGATATCAATTTTAAAAGAATATCATATGAAAAGAGGTATAAAAAAAAAAAAGATCGGCAAAAGATACTGTAAACCACTAAATGAAATGTAGTCCCTCTAGTGAACCGACTTGAGGGTTTTTGCACAGTTTGATCAGTTTAGGGAAGTTAGAAGTTCTAAGGATGGTGTTGCTTTCTTCGAGATTCTTCCTAAACATCATCGTGACACTTTCCAAGGAGGTAATTTACTAGCATGAACATTTTGGTGGTTATACTTTTTTTGAATTCGTTACAAGACAAACAAAGACTAGTATGAGGAGATTTGATAACACTGATCTTTGGCATGTTCTCTTAATAATTTCTATAAGCATATACGGTGATTTCTTACTAATTTTGTGCTTAATTAATTTGAAATGGCTTGAAAAATATGATTTTTTATTTTTATTTTTATCATTTGATATACCTTGGCACATTGAGAATTTCAGTAACATTTAGAGGCAAATAATGCAAGAAAATTTGTTTGCATGGCAAAAATTTGGACAGTTGCATTTTTAGACCGCAATTTCACCTCGCGTTTGAAAGACAAAAAGAATTTAAAATATTGGAAAAGTAAAATATAATTGGATATTTATTCAATCTAAAGAAGTTCCCATGTTCTGTGCAGAATGAATCTCGACCATTTCAATTAGCACCTACTAGATTGGACGGATGGATATCATTGCACCAATTGGAATTTGTAACCATCAATCTTCTAGAAGCTCTTCCTATGTCTATAAATAGGGATCAATTTGAATCACTTTTAAGATTTCCACTCACTAAAAAACACGATCATCTTAGGAAGAGCTCAAGCTGTAAAGAGCTTCAGAAGTCTAGAGCGGGTGGTTGACAACACTTATGATAGGATTCACGTGCTCGAAACCTATCCCATTTACTTTCCGCACTTAGCTAAATTTGCTACTTTCATAGTGTAAATGCGAAGTTCAATTCCTTAGATAAATGGAGCATCATTCTTCTTCATATCACCATCACACATGGATGACACTAGAGTATAAGATATTTGTTTCTCAACACAACTAGCATTAAATATAAGTCATTTAATCAAAATTTGTTAGGAGGTTTTAAAAGGATTCCAACACTATTAGGTAGATCCATTATGAAAATGACTCTTTGATCATTCAATTAATCTTTTAATTTACTAGTTTTGAGTGTCAAGGAGAACGAATCTCAGGACAACTAATAATGAATTCATAAATAGATCATTACCAAAATAATTAAGGAATTAGTTTATTTTTCCCGCGATTACCTATAGGTCTAACAAATCATTGTGATCGCAAAGCACTTTAGCAAATAAAAGTCTTATATGATCACTTCCATGCAACATTTCATCCTACGAAGTATATATATCATAAACATATTATCACTTCACCCTAAACATTATTTACTTATTGCCTTCTAATATTATACCTATATCACTAACACACACCATTAGTTCATCTCACCCATCGGCATCGTCGAGATTCCACGAACCTTCACTTGGCCACACGACCATCTTCCACTTCAATCATCTATCATCTATCATCTTTTTTCTATACTTTCTGAATTTACATTTCTTATCTTGATTATATGATTAATGCAACTAGATCTGAATTTCAATTTCATAAACTCGCATGCGCATTTGTCATAATTTTTCCCTCAATATTAATGCATTGGGTTTAATCCAAAACTCACCAGTTATCATGAAAATTTTTAATTATTTTATGAAAGTTTTTTAACTACAATATTACACTCTTTAAATTGCCATCAGATCCCTTCCACGCTTGAAATCAACTCAAAAATAAATTCACAATTTATTTTTGGCACCATTGTCGTGGCGTTTTTCCTTAAGGACTTAAATAAAATAGTGAGCTTCATGATAATTATTGAAATATCAAGATTTTGTATCATGAGCTAATGCTAATTCATTGTGGTGCATATAGGGACTCTGCCAAGTGAGGTTCTACCAAAAAAAAAAATGAATGTGCTCAACACAATTCAAATCATAATTCCAAGAAAGAAACTATGGCCGCTAACAAGAAACTAAAGTCCCTCAAATGCCACAAGTTCTTCATTTGGAAGCAAGACCAGTACCACTGCCAGTTGATGTTATCCTCCTACAAACTCTTCAAACCATGTAGCAAGGGATGGCCGAATTATGAGAACGTGTCCAAAGGTTGGAGCAAACTTATACTACAAAAACGTTGAAATTTAGTTACAAAAGATTATGTAGTAAAAGGTAATACTGAGCAAAATTAAATTATAGGTCCTATAAACACATGATTAAAATATATTTTTAAAATAATATCACTAATTGACATCAATTGGACAAGAAATTTTAACGTGACAGTCTGTGCGTGGTAGATTTGAGAAAAAAAAAATGAAAGATGAACTGTCCGGATGTTCGAAAAGCAAGAATGATTGAGTGAGGGCGAAAGAGAGAGAAGAGAGAAGGTGAGGCGAATTGAGATGAGACCAGTTAGAAAGAAGGGAGAAAAAAAATATATAATTAGAATTTTAAAATTTATTTGAATAATTATAAAGAAAAAGATATATAAACTACAAGTTAAATTTTAATAATAATAATAGGTAATATTTTAAATTTGGACCTTCTATTAATGAGGGGTCTCGCTCACCCTGTTCCGGCTAAGAACCGCCCCTGTTCGTACCAAAAAGGTTTTTACGACGAAATACATTTCATCGTCTATACCGCATTGGTAAAGGTCTTAGGTGACAAATTTGACTTTCGTAACAAAAGATAAATCTTTTTTTTTTATAATAAAAATTAATAAAAAAAAAAGATGTAGCCCCAAAAACATAATTTCATAGCTAAAGCTCTTTTACTATAAAAATAAAGTTTGATACAAAAGAATTTTAGCAACAAAATATGCATAATTTTTTTTAATGAAATGATATTAGCTATGAAAAATAATTTTGTAGCTAAAATCTTTTTTCTATGAAAATATGATTTTCTAGAAAAAAAAATTTAGTGATAAATTAATTTTGTAGTACATAATTTTTTTTTAGCAAAAAAATTGCTTTTTATTGTTGAATAACATATTGTAACTATAAAACATTTCATAGTTAAAAATTTTGTAACTAATTAAACATTCATAACAGTGTCAACTCCTGCAAAATTAGGCATTTCAACACGAACTAGGTTATCTTGAGAATGAGATCAACTGCCCTCAACTCCCAGTGGCTGATCAACAGGGAAATCAAAACATGAAAGAGAAAGAGTCCAGAATCCTCAGGCACCACACAATAATGTTCAAATGGATGCCCACTATGAAGTTTTACTGGACACTACCCTAATTCTATAGAGTGGAGGGATTCTTTGAATTGAAGCCAATGATAGTCTCACTGGTAGTCCAACGCATTATAGTGGCCTCCTGTATGAGAGCCCATACGACTACCTGAAGAGCTTTTCTAGGGTTTGCTCTCATTCAAAGGGAATGGTTTATCTGTGGATGCTGCCAAGTTACTCATATTTCCATTTGCACTCAAGGGCGAAATAGAAAAATGAATTAACTTCATTCCCAAAGTCATATCCTTCGCCGATCGAGGTGATATCAATAGTTCTTAGCCTGCTTTCATCCTGTTAGCAATACTGAACAACAATGCATGCATATCTCTCAATTCAAGTAAGGAGAGGATGAATCATTTCCCCATGCATGGTCGTACTTCAAAATCATGCTCCGCAATTATCTGCACCATGAATTTCTTGACTGCCTACAAATTCAAACATTCTACATAGGTCTTGAAGTTCAACTCCATGTTGCATTGGATTCTGCTGCGAGGCACTCCCTTATGAGCTGAGGATTCATGAAATTTATTGAGAAAATTGCAGTAAGAATAATCAATTGTCCATAAGCTAACCACACTCCGAGCAAAGGACTTTATGAGGTATCCAGTATAGTCTCGCAAGAGGCTAAATTGACAATCTAAATGTATAGGTAAAAGAAATTGTGAGGCTGATGAAGCTGAATGTATTGGGGCAAGCGAAGAAGAAGAAGCAAATCTTTGAGAAAGAAGAAAAAACATCTATAGGAACATACAAAAATGGCGAGCTTTCAATGCCATCAGAGACTAAATCCAAGCCCCCAACTAATCTAGAAATTGCCTGCTTTGTAGGATCTTCAAATCAACCTCTTCCTCTCAACCAATATAGGAAAACTCATAACGGAGGATGTAGGTACCAAAAACCCCACCACCTCAGCTTCGTTTCTAGCTAGACTCTATGCATTTCCAGCATGGACTACCACCATCACCTTATGGAGGATACTATCCTCCACCACCATCACTAAACTGCAGTCCTTTCCCCTACCCACCCTCAACAATCAATTGTATCATTAGAAGAAATGATTTGACCAAAAATACAGAATAGTGCTCAATATCAATAGAAGAGTGTTACAAAAATAAAGTTACTGCAGACTCAACTATGCTAGTGACAGCTTGCATTATCAATCAAAATAATTACATGTTCTTCCTAATCAATTGCAAGAAATAGCAACAAGGTCGAATTCACATGGACTGCAATTTTGTTTCTTTGGTTGATTATTTAATTATAAAAAGTGGGGTTGTCAAGCAAGGCAGTTAAAAAAATAACTATCCTAGGGAAAATCAATTAAACAAAATAAAATCAAACAATCAAGAAAAAAATAAAATAACTTTATCAAGAAATAAAAATCTCTAGTCCAAAGATTGAATGAAAAATAAGATAATGAATTTGATAATTGAATTAAATAATCTAATCAATCAATTGGTAAATTGGTTATAGGTGTTCGATACGATCGAACACCCAATTTTTCTAATCTTATCGGTAGAAATGGTACGACCAATTGACCACACCTAATAGAAGGAATTCAACAAGGTACCACCCACGAGAAAAACCCAATGTAAATATTTAATCAATTACAAAATATTTTCAATTCGATCATGCAAATCATAGGCTAAGCTCGTTAACCTACTTACTACTTTATCAAATAAATATATAATTATAGATGCAATTATTTAATTAGCACACAATCAATAGACAAACTTAAAATATTGCTACGATAATAAATCACATCTAATGAATGTAGACACGATATGCAAAAATCAAACAAATACCAATTAATCAAAAGATTCAATTAAAATCCAAAACTATCTCACAAATCCATAATCCAAAAATTCAAAACCTTAGATTAGACTAAGAAGTTTAGCCACTAAACATAACTAGAAATTGAAAACAATAAGGTTCCACTTGACATAAGATGATATAGAATTACAATCATTTCTTGATCGCTCCAACCGTCCACGCCTTTCTTGCTTTTGCTTCAAGATGATTTTTTATTTTATGTCCCCCTTCTTGAGGTAAAAAAAACATGTGCAGTCCTTAGAATTGCCAACAATATATATATTTTTTTATTGTTGTTTCACAATTTTCTCCTTAGTGCAAAATTTAAATTTTATCACTTGAAGTCTTGACTTATCTGAACTTTCTCTAGGCATAGACATGCCTAAATGAAAGTAATAATATGATTTTTTTTATTCTTTTTTTGAAATAATATTCTATTTCTTTCATTCTTAACACAAAAATTGAATTTGACCAAAAATCAGTAGAAACTATGCAAAATTATGATCAATAAGTACAGTCAACGTACAAAAAGTCGGATAAATAATAAGTTCATCACTTCCCCCCACACAGAAACTATGCTTATCCTCAAGCATGTTAAAAAATGTGCATAAAACTAAACATGTACCATGTTTCCTAACACGAAAATCATATCTCAATGGTAACTTTATCAATCCTGGACCATGCCAAGTTCAACCAACCTCATAAGAAAAAAGTGTATATAGTCAACACTCAAATAAAACAAAAGGCTAATTATTGCTCAAATTTCATAATAGTTAATAATTAGTCTATAGGCTTGCATATGAGACAAGTTGCCTTCGATTATTATTAAAATCAAATGAAAAAATCGAAAGGTCTTTTTAAGGATTATAACATGACTTTTGATTGGGGTAGAAAAAATGGCTATGACGGCTAAGCATCAACAATACATATAGATAAGTTCATCATATAGCATATGCATTTTCGATTTCACACCCAAAATTAAACACATCCTTAATCTAAACCAAGAACTACCTTCTCAACGAATAAAACACTCTCAAACATCAAACCATTTTTTTTTTCTTTATATTTTATATTTAAAATTTTATTTCCTTTATTTTTATCCCCCTCTCTCTCTTTTTTCTTTTCCGAAACTAAAAATCAAAACAATTTCTTTTCAGCCTTCATAATGTCTAATAGAAATAACTATAATTGATGAACTCAAATACATTATTGACAACGCGTTCAAGTATTTGGCTATATAAGGGAAAAGTCGTAGGCGACATGGGGTTATATATTTTTTTACAAAAAAGTGTTAAAGGCTCAAATGGATCTTGCCAAGTGGGGTAATCCTATCGTGCCCTTATCATTTTAATCACAACGACTCTTTGAACGTGTTCAACATGCATAACTACGCAAGTTCTAGTAAGAAAATTCAAAAGCAATATTTACACCGTCAAAGAATATAAAGTATTTAAAATGAATGCTCATATAGGCTCAAAACTCACATGGATATTCAAAGTAGTGGAACTTGGCACAATCTAAACCTAAATTCACCGAAAAATCAACAAAGTTCTCGCGCACGCAATAATCCACATAAAAGTCTATCTACACATAAGGCAACATGCAAATGACACCAAACTCCCCCTTGCCCACATGAACTAGACATTATCCTCAATGTAAAACAAAGAAAAAAATTAAGCAAATGAAATAAATAAAATGAGGGGAAAAATACTACCCTGAATAACTATGTGGGATTGCCGTGGGAATTTTATAGACAACATTCGCATGTTTCTTTGAAGTTGTTAGATTTTTCCCCTTTATTTGTCATCCTATAGAAGAAAATTCAATAAATCAGATCTTAACCAAAACATAATACAATAAAACCTACAAAAGAATAGAGAGAAGGGAAATTGAATTGCACTAGCGAGACGTAGTGGCGCGGTTCGAGTCAGCCGGAGGAGTGGCAGGGCGAAGGCGCAACGGCGGTTGTCAAAGGGGACTCGACGGCGGCTGGCATCTGCGGCTGAAACAGGAACACCGGTCGACGGATGTGCAGCTTGGACTGGCTGGGCTTGGCGTCGGGCAGCAGTGAAGGAAGGAATCTCGGCGACGGGTTGGAATCGAAGGGAGGATGGTCAGCGGGGGAGGCAAATGTGACGGCGGCGGCGCGGGTGGCTATGCGTTTGACAAAGGCAGACTGTGCGAGGCACAGTGGTGGCTGGCGCTGGTCGGTCCGGCGGAGGAGGGATGTCGTGCTCTGGTGTCTGGTGGTGGATTTTCGGGAACCGCGGCTTATGGAATCGGCGACGGGCGGCGGTTGTCTTCAGCGACTGAAATAGGGAGGCCAGTTGGTAGCGGCTGCAGGCGTACATGGCAGCGCACGGTGGCTGTGCGTCTGATCTGCGAAGAAGACGAAGAAGAAGGAGAAAAGAGAAGGGGGAGGGGGGAGGCAGACGCGATGGCTGCAGGAAAAATGGGGAAATTATTTTGAATGTGTTTGTTCGAGGGATTTGCGTAGAAAATCCACTATCCATACAAATCAAATAGTTCTTTTTAATTTTTTATATTATTTTAAAAATTAATTTTATATTTAATATATTACATCAACACTTATTTATATCATTTTAATTCAAAAATTTTATTATTTAAATTCTAAAATCTCCAAACAAACGCACCCTTAAAAAATTTTCGGTTAAAACAAGTAAATTACTTTTTCACCTCCAATTAGAGCAAAAAATCAGAAGTGGTCTCATTCAATGCCAACTTTATAACTTTTGGTCCTGTTTAAAAAATTATATCAAAAGTGGTCTTGTTCAAAAATATGTTTATCAATTTTGATCATTTTCTTTACAATCAACGGACAAGGCTGACATGTATGTAACAGAATGTGACATGGATGTTGATTAGGATTGAACATACGTGAAACACGGCCGTGTTTCAATTCATTATTGCCAAAACTGCAAAAGAAAGAATTGTCTCTTTCACCTTCACACACAAATATATATATAAATACATATATATGTATCATAGTTATAGACCCTCGCCAAGAAACTCGTGAAGACCAGCAAACACGCCGAATTCTGGCCGGAGAAGCCACTGCCCACGAGAGAGAGGAAGCCCAAGAAAAACAGCCGCGAAAATAGTGACGGTGACGAAGACGTCGAAGAAGACAATTCCGGCGATGACCAGAACCCTAATAATGTTAAGATTACTTCTCCCAAAATTCACGGCGGCGCATCTAACAAGTTCGTAGGACGATGACCCTTCCAACAACAAGCTGCCGGAGACTCTCTCTGTTTCTCTCTTTGCAGGCCACGAACCTGCTGCCGGAGCCGGAGGGCAGAGCGGTATGAAGAAAAATAAGAAGAAAAAAAGAGAAGGGGGGGGGGGGGGGGGGAAGAAGGGTAATGCGGGTCAGTTGAACAGATAAATTCTGGCGGTGGCGCGCAGACGTGTCAGAGTCTCTTGTGCCACTATCTGGCGCAGCAGGGCTACGTGGTGAGCTACCGAGGCAAATTCGACGGGCGGCGGTGCGGCGGCATACTAGAGGGCTCCATCGGCGTGCACATATGCATCGGAGAGTTATTTGATGTGACCTATGCCCGTTGGATTCGTCGGAGATTTTAAAGTATAGAACACAGTGGCGTTGAAAATCAGTTTTAAATAATAAATACGCGTTCAATCCTAATCACCGTCCAAGTCACACTCCGTTATAACATGTCACCATTGTTTGTAGAAATGGGAAGGTAAGTATCAAAATTGATAAAAATATATTTTAATAGGATTAATTTTGATATATTTTTTTTAATAGGACCAAATATGATAAAAATGATTTGGAATGGTACCACTTTTGATTTTTACTTTTTAAATTATAACTTTTATAACTTGTCCTCTTTTAAGCATAAAAACAAGTATGTGCATGCTTAAATGAATGTTATTTTAGTATGTCCATCCTTAAATTAATGTTAACTTCTGGAATTTTTTTTTCTTTGATACCATCTAAAATCTTTTCCAAATGCCACTTTATTGTGAATTTATATATATATATATATGTTCCTAATCAATGAAATTATTCGAATAATACCTCGTATACAAAAATATAAAGTATTGGCTGAAGAAAATAATCGAATAAATCAAAAACAATATTACATTGAATCGAACATAGAAGAAGACGAACCAGGAAGTTCATTTTAATTCAATTAGACTTAATCCTGTTTGTTTTGCATTTTTATTTCCAATTCCAAAATATTATTTTTTTGCCTTATTTTAGTACTAAATTTCTTTTAGATCTCCACTCTTTTTGGCATAGAGATCGTAAGCTATCGGGTGTCATCACTGTCCAAACCCTCATTGCTTGAATAAACCAAAAACAATATTACATTGAATCGAACAGAGAAGAAGACGAACCAGGAAGTTCTTTCAATTCAATTAACTTAATCCTGTTTGTTTTGCATTTTGATTTCCAATTTTATAAAATTATTTTTTGCCTTATTTTTAGTACTCAATTTCTTTTAGATCTCCACTTTTTTTGGCATAGAGATCGTGAGCTACCGGGTGTCATCACTGTCCGAACCATCATTGCTTGAATAAACCAAAAACAATATTACACTGAATCAAACAGAGAAGAAGACGAACCAGGAAGTTCATTTCAATTCAATTAGACTTAATCCTGTTTGTTTTGCATTTTTATTTCCAATTCCAGAATATTATTTTTAGTCTTATTTTAGTACTCAATATCTTTTAGATCTCCACATTTTTTGGCATAGAGATCATGAGCTACCGGGTGTCATCACTGTTCAAACCGTCACTGCTCCTAGTCTTGTATACTTGCGGATTTATTAACAAGGTTTAGTAAACAAAAGTTTAAAGCAACATATGAAAAATTAGACATTCTGTTGTGATATTTTAGATATTCGGTTTTAGATTTAGTAGATTTATATTTTGATTTGGTCTTTTCCATATATTAGATTACTTAGATTTAAATATATCGAGTCTGTTTTGTATTGCTTAATATAGACCCATTATTTTGATGATCAATAAGACAAATTCATTATTTTCCCCTAAAATTTCTAACTTGGTATTAGAGCGTATTTTTCTCATATCATAGATATAGCCTACCAACCAGTGTTTCTTCGACTGCATTTAACATGGATTGTACCCGGAGGTCTTGTGATTTTGAGATCATGCTATCTTTCATATGTCGGTTGCATGCATGCGATCTAAAATCTATATGTTATCTGTCATTTGTCCGCTGTCTGTCCGTGTATGCGTACGATCTGAAATCCATCTGCTATTTGTCATCTATCCGTTGTTTCCTGCGTGGGATCTTAAATCTAAATGCTATTTGTCATTTGTCCGTTGTCTGTCTATTGTCTGCGTGCGATCTGTCATATGTCTGCTGCTTGTCTGTTGTCTGCGTGCGATCTGATCTGTCCGATGTCTGCTATATGTTCTGCGATCTTTTCTATGATTTGTCCGAAGTTTGCGATCTGTTCTGCAATCTGTCCGATGTCTGCGATCTGTTCTGTAATCTGTCCGATGTCTACGATCTGTTTGTTGTTTGTGATTTTTCCGATGTCTGCGATATGTTTTGTAGGCTATATGTCTATGTTTAACTCCGATTCCATTCAGAGTCCTATAATTTTTAGATCTAGTGGAGAGTGATGTCGTTTTCGGCTCCGGTGGAAAGTCATCTCGTTTTCGTCTCCGGTGGAGAATCATGTCATTTTCGGCTCCAGTGGAGAGTCATCTCGTTTTCGACTCCGGTGGAGATTCATCTTATTTTCGGCTCCGGTGAGAGTCATTTTGTTTTTAACTCTAGGTTGAGAATCATCTCGTTTTCGGCTCTGGTGGAGACTCATCTCGTTTTCGACTTCATTGTGAGTTCTGTTAGTTTTCACTCTAATTCAGTTGAGAGCATTGTTTCTAGCTTTGACACTTCGACTCCGGTGGAGAGTCATGTCGTTTTTTGCTCCGGTGGAGAGTCATCTTGTTTTTGTCTCTGTAGAGAGTCAACTGTTATTTTTATTTGCATTTTTTGCGTCTATATTCAACTTTCTTATCAAACTCAAGTTGGTTTTAGTCATGCCACTTGAGTTTGAGGAAGGATGTTGAAATATTTTAGATATTCAGTTTTAGATTTAGTAGATTTATAATTAGATTTGGTCTTCCCCATGATTAGATTACTTAGATTTGAGTATATCGAATCTGTTTTGTATTGCCTATATATAGGCCCCTTATTTTGATGATCAATAAGACAATTTTATTATTTTTTCCCAAAATTTCTAACACATTCACTATTTTTAAAATAATACTTCCTCCGTCTCAAATATGGTGCAACATTTGTTTTGGGTACGGGAATTTAGGTGGGTGATATATTAAATAAGATAATTTATGAATTAAGTGATATGATGAGAGATGAAAGTGTATTTATTTGAGTGATGTGATAGAATAAAGTGTGGGGTGGATATTAAATTTATTTAATTATTTACTATTTTAGAAATATTGCACTATGTTTGAGACATATCAAAAAGGAAATATTGCATGGTGTTTGAGACAGAGGAAGTATATAAATAAATTCCAAATTTTTACATTTTCAAAAAATTTCTTATAATCAAAAGTATCAATGTATACTATTTTTTTGCACAAGTTAAATTTTGTAACCTTTTTGTTCTCATTTCCGCATGGTTATATTTCGAAGGTATCTTTTCAAGTTTTAATAGACCTTTAGACACTACATCACATAAAAAAATGAAAACAAACATCTATGTGTTTGGTACGATCATGAAAAATAGGATTTTTATATAGTTGTATACTCAATTAGCTATCCGAAAAATTGTTATGTCATTGTGTAAGTATTTTAGTTCGTTTAGAACACCTTTTACCTATAATGCTTCTTTTATGGCTTCAGTTATAACAATATATTCTAGCTCCATCATAGAAAAAGCCACAATATGTTGTAATTTGGATTTTCGACTGATGCAAGATCCACATAACGGTAAACAAGTATGAAGTAGTGGGCTTCCTAGAATCCCTATCATTTGCATAATTAGAATCAACATAGCCAATAAGTCTTATGTCATCCACATGTCTATCAAACACTAAGCCTACATCCAAAGTACCTATCAAGTATCTAAACACACACTTAAGTGCATTCCAATGCTCATTACTAGGGGTTAGACATATATCAACTTAAAGTACTCACCACATAAGCTAAGTATGGCCTAGTGCATACAATAAAATCCATGATTGACCCTACATAATTAAAATATGTAACATTTTTGTGTAGTTTAAGTCACTTTCAGATTTTGGGTTTTGATCTTTAGTTAAAATTATGTTTGACGCTAAGGGCACACTTGAAGATTTTGCATCACTTATGGAAAAAAGTTTCAAAATTTTCCTAATGTAAGAGGATTGATTCAAATATAGCACATTATTCTTTCTATCTCTAACTATGTTCATACCTAATTTCACTTTCGCAAACCCTAAATTC